ATCGGCAAGACTATTTACACACCCTGCAAAAGTTGTGACTCTGGCCCTATTTGGAATGTGAAATCACAGATATTGAAGAGAATACAATGGCTGGTCTTGGTCAACTGAGGACGTTAGCCTTAGACTTTAACGGGCTGTCATATATTACACAGAGCTACTTCTCGGCCCTTCATTTTGTCAATGTGCTGACCTTGTCCAATAACGAAATAGAACAGATGGATCCAGGGAGCTTCATCAGCATGAAATTTCTTTTTTTCTTGAATTTACGATATAACCTGCTGCGGGTTGTAAAGCCTGATTGGTTTCTTGGTCTGAATAGCTTGACAGTCCTTTATTTGAAAGATTAACAGGATTGAGGTCATTTCCACTGCGAGCATTTCGGCACCTACCGAAGCTGATAGATCTGCATCTAGGTGGCAATAAGCTAACTTCTCTGGGCGGAGACTGGTCCTGGCATCTGGCTGTCAGCAACCGAATTCGCGACCAAGGGTACCCCTTTATGTTTAGAAGACAGGACGTATCTGTTAGGCTACCCGGCGGTCTCCTTTGTATCACTCATGACCCTCTGAGCGATGTGAAAGAACAAACTTTGGGGTGGTCCTTTGATTCAATAGAACAACCCTTTCGGTGGATCTTTCAAAAAATTCACAAAAACACCTGCATCGATATCCGGGATATCGAAAATCCCTTGCCTAAAAGCATCACAACTCAGGCACCTTTTGTAGCCATCATAAAACGCTCACTCTCAGATATGATCTCCAATGATACAAATGACCAGTGCAGAAAAGTATGGGAGCATAGCAGCGACTTATCTGTATCTTTACTTGGCGGTCTGAGTCTCCGCCTGGCTTTCCTGAGAGCTGAAAACACAGAAACACTAACTGCCATTGTATTGAGCCCGACAACAAACACCACAACGGGTAGCACAGCCACGGGGAGAAACCACCTCAACAACATCACCGACACAAGCGTCAAGAATATCACCTGTGTTGTAGTTACCAAAGACAAGGTTAGTCAGACGGTGTTCAGTGTCCATCAGTTACAGCAGAGGCAAAACGACACCGACACAGATTTTCACAGTGGTTCGGCATTCCATCCGAATCCTGCAGCAAAGAACGAGTCTCTAGTAGTAGCGTCGACCTCTTGTCCGCAGGCTAGCACTATGTACACAAAGGCTGCCCAAGGAAAACCAGTACGCCCAACCCGAACGCTCATCATCATCTTGACTCTTGCAATATCAGGAGGCCTGGTGGTGGTAATAGTTGTTGTGTTTCTCTTGAAAAGAAGGTCAATGTTAAACAAGCAGCATATTCGAGCCATCAGGCGGCGTGGTGCTGTGTCTGGGCGGGCGAGGTCGGCCTCTCTCCCCACCATCTCCCGCCCCAGCCAGGCCGCTCTGCACCGCAAAGCCTCTTGCAGATCCCTGCCTGCCGACCTGCATTCTATCGAGCCCACGTACTACGAGATCTCTGATGACGCTGTCTTGGCTACTCGACCTCTTCCTGTCCTCCCACACACGTACTGGGAAATCCCGGACGTCGAGCCGACCTCTTGCAACACTTCGGAAGACGAAGACGACGATGACGATGGGCCATTGCTATTTTATGCTGCTGCCGCAGATATGACGCTCGTGGGAAACGGAGAAGGTTGCAGCACCTACCATGACAGCAAACCGAAAACTGTACATTATCACAGGTCCGCACAACGTACAGCCATTTATGAAAATCCTGAGGTCCAACGTGTTACCTTTCATAGAAATGCGGAAAATCCCTACCGTCACCAAGTCACTAGAGCTTGCGGAGCAAGAAGAACTTCTTCTGTCCCCATCTACGAAGGTCGAACCATGGGTAGAACATACATGAATGTAGGACAGGCAAAAGGGACGTCATCAGTAATTCATCACAGAGCAGCGAGGACAACTGCCGGGTACGAGGCGCCACCAGCGTCTCTATGGACGGAGAACAGGGATTATCAGACCGTTCTAAACGACGTGGCGCCATGGACATCACCGCCAAACACCTACTGGCCGTGGGAGATCTCCAATGGGCAGTTGAACAGATCGCGCCCAGTGCCTCTGGTCTCCCCCTTACCCAACACGTACTGGCCATGGGAAGAAACTTCATGTAGCGGCAACCGAGGTCCAAAGCGGCGGGCGTCACTCCCCACCTACCCCGAGACAACACAGACTGAAGTATCCTTAAACACCACACCATGTGTGCCACCTAACACCTACTGGCCATGGGAAATTACAGGTGAAAGTAGCTGTATCGATATCACACAACGACGGGCGTCCCTTCCCACTCTCAGCAATACCTACATATACTGTGAGACAACACAAACTGAAGTATCCCTGAAGCCCACACAACCAAACACCTACTGGCCATGGGAGATCTCAAAGAATGAGCGTGTTAACTCACAGCTTGCTGCTCCCAACCTACCAAACACCTACTGGCCATGGGAGGTGAGTGGAACACGTCGGCGGGCGTCCCTCCCATACTTAGTAATGTCTACCGTGAGACAACACAAACCGAAGTACTAACACTTAATCCTACACAACTAAATACCTACTGGTCACGGGAGATCTCAAGCAATTAACAGGTTAATACACTGCGTCGTCTAGCGCCTGCTGCTCCCAACCTACCAAACAGCCTCGCCCACCACCGTCAAACGTAGCTATTGAACGGGTACTGCACAGGCATGTGGCGACTTTCTCATTAGCTGAATCGCTAATTGCCATTCTCTTATTGGTTAGTACGGGCATGTGGTGGCTTCCCATTGGCTGAATCGCTAATTGCCACCCTCTCATTGGTTGAACTGTTAATTGTGAATGAACAGTCAGGATACGAGTGACAAAACCCTACTGACTCTAGTAAAACGAAGTGGTCAGCGGGCTTTAGCAGAATAAAACATTATAAACCAACCATACGTGAAGAGAAGGAATCTGCCGTAACTACTGTACACGCGTAAAATATTGGGAGAGAAGAGGGGTGGGGGTGGGGGTAGTGTCCAAAGCACCTGTACGGTTCTAGAGTTGTAATATGTGTAAAAAATTAGCACGCAGGCAATGCAAGGGAGGAAAAAGTAAGGGCCCTAATTAAACAACATGTATATACG